CCCCCCCCCCTGGGCCGCCCGCCGCACTTTGCGCACGCCACAGGGATTTGGCCTTGGAAGGCGCGGCCGCCGCCTGCGCCCATTGGTGCCGGCGTGAATTGAATAGGCCAATGGGCGTGGGGGGCGGAGCCTGGGCTGCGGTTGCAGAGGGCGGGTTGAGTAGGTGCGGGCTGAGCCGGAAGGTTTCAAACCTAAACAGCGCTCTGCACCGGGGACTTGAGAGCTGGGAGGAGTCGCCTGGGCAAAATCCCCACGATGTAGCCGGGCTAGGGTTGACCAAGATCCCAGATGGGACAAGTCTTCAGACGCTCACATCCGATTGAGGAAGGCAAACAGGAAAAAGACAAGAAGTGTTGTTTGGCTGTGTTGCTTATTTAACATAGGTTTGATCGCTGAGGACAGAAGAGCTGAATGACCACGCCAACAGCAAGTGTATTTCTCTTTCACAAATGTTATTTTGAGCATTGTAACTCTGAAGTGGATCGTTATCATCTCCTGTTTCACAGATGAGTTGACAGACAATTATTTGCCCATGTTTGCTTAGCTTACAAATGGAAACTGACAACATCATGACCCCTGTGTGCAGGTACAGGCTGAGAAAAACCAGCCCACTCAGCCCTGGGAAGCCTATAAAGGCCTAGATGTCAGAAAGATATCCTACCATCCTTGAGAGTTTGTTTCCCCATTGGGAACAGAATCCCCAAAGGGAGTGGCAAAATGGCACCCAGATAAGCCAGGGCTAGGGAAGAGGTAGGATGGTTAGAAACTTCACCTAAGGGACTAGTCCACCCCATCCCAGCAGGTCTGCCCCTGCATGCTCCCAGGGTTTCCTCAGGTGTTCTATTTTACATCGCTAGGCTTTGGTTCCCTCATCAGTACAAAGAGAAAGCCGCTGCACCTGCACAGTGGAGTTATGGAAAAGAACCAAAATGACACGTGTGAAGCCCTTAGGGCCTGATCTGTAGTCATCACTGAACAAAACACAGTGTCCATCTCTTCAACATGAATATCACCCCATGGGTCTCAAAGCACTATTCCAGTCGCTGGAAGAATAACAGTTCTTTTGTGTAGTGCAATTCACAATTTACAAGGCATTTTCCATAGATTATAACATTTAATCCTACAAGGACCCCCTAAGGACAGAAAGTTGATGGACTCACTGAGATTCAGAAGGGAAAAGACACCTGCTCAAGGTTACTGACAGAGTCAAGAGATGACAGGACTACAGACTGACTTCAAATCTGGGTTCTTTCTAGCCACTTCCTCTCTCATTTATTTATTTATTTTTTTTTTGAGAGGTTTTTGCTATAGAGTGCGTGCGCTTGCCAGAAAAACAGAGAGAGAGACAGAGAGACAAAAAGCGAGAAATCACCCCCCCCAGGGGGGATGGCCACCCATTCTCCTCTCGGGATCTTGGGCACGCACGCACACGCGCCCAGCGTGAGTTCTAAGCCACCGGGTCTGGGACACGAACTGGAGTTGACTACGTGGGAATCCAGCGACATAGCCATTACGCTAACTGCTGGTTCCCAATAACTACAACTTTCTAAATCACCATAAATACTTGCAGATCTGCTGCGAACCTTCATACAGAGAGAGCCAGGAGGATTTTGTAGGTAGACTCAGACAAAAGCAATGAAAAACTCCTGCTCCAAGCAGATGGTAGCAGGAAAGTATCTTGAGTGTGCAGGAACTCATGCCCTTATCCAGTTCTGAGCAAAGTCAGCTCCCAGGCAAATTACAAGTTGCTGGGATGGGTTAGATCGGGAAAGGTGGCTGAGTGAATGGTACTTGCTTCCATTCATAGGAGATAGAGCTTGTGGGGTGGATACAGAAGCACCAAGCAATTTTCTAATACTTTTTAGCACGGCTGGGCCAAAGTCAATTGATCAGTCAAATCCATCCTCACCCCCATCCATGTCTTCCTTTAGAAACTGGCCTGATCAACTGTACCCTCCTGTGGGCCAGCCTTTTATTATTATTATTTTCTTTTTTTATTGTTAGTTCAGTTTTTTGTTGTTCAACTTTTTTTCATTTTAATTTTTTATTAACTTAAAAATTATTATTCATACATTAAAACGCTATACACAAAACACACACACACACACGCACCCAAAGGGGAACTGACTTTTGGGATCTACTTTTCATACCTTTATACTACATAATTATCAGATGCAAAACAGGGAAGAGAGACGGAGAAAAGGATAAAATGAAAATAGACTCCTTTTTCCTCCACAAAATTATAATACTCCTGTGAAGATAAAATAGCATTTGTGCACTTTTGTGTTTGTCTGTCAAACTGAGGGGCCATAATCTTTTAGTCTTCTTCACTTAAAAACATCACATTCTTTTTTTTTTTTTTTGGAGAAGTTTTTTCGCTATAGGGTGGGTGTGCTCGCCAGACAGACAGAGAGAAACAGAGAGACAGAAAGCGAGAAATCACCCCCCAAGGGGGGATGGTCACGCCGCAATCCCTTCTCCTCCATTCTCCTCTCGGGATCTTGGGCACGCACGCACACGCGCCCGGTGTGAGTTCACGTCTGGGACGCGAACCGCGGTCGATTACTTGGGAGTCCAGCGACATAGCCATTACGCCAACTGCTGGTTCCCCAAAAAATCACATTCTTTAAGTCCTGCACAAACACCCACCCACAAAACAAAACTAAATAATTTAGAGCTAGAAGGCTTTTCTAAGGTTTCACATACTTTTCCACAGAATGTTTTTTTTTGCTAGAATCCCTTAGGGGTAGGAGTAGGGGTGTTAGGGAGTCAGGACTGTGCCTTTTTGGTTTTAAGCAATGTGTTTACATTTTGCTCCTTAACCTGATTACTTCAGTAAGGCTAGACTGGGCTCTGTCTTAACCAGTTTTTTTTTCCTGTTGTTTTTAGAGATTTTTTTTTTTTACTATAGAGCGTGTATACTTGCCAGACAGACTGACAGAGAAACATAAAGAGAAAAATCACACCCCTCCCCCCCAGGTGGAATGGCCACACCCTAATCCCTTCTCCTCCATTCTCCTCTCAGGTATTTGGGAACCCCCGCACACACACCTGGCATGAGTTTCAAGCTGCAGGACCCAGGACTAGAACTGTGGTCGTCCATGTGGGAGTCCAGCAACGTAACCACTATACCACCTGTTGGCCCCAGAAGGCTTTTTTCCATACTGTTCAGAACAGGCCTTTGCCAGCACACCTGACCATGCAGCTGCAGGCACCTGGAGTACTGATGATCAGTTTTATTTGTTTCTCCTCTGGTCCTGTCAAGTAAGTAAGTACCTGTGAGAGACAGGAGAGGGGCAATATGAAGGGTAAAAGAAAGGGACAGAACAAGAACACGACGTCTAGGGCGAGAGAAAGGCTGAAGAAAGAGGGAATGGACATAGTGTTGGGCGCCCCAAAGGTCTAGCAGAACTGACACCGAGAAGATCCCTAGGATTCTGAAGGTAAGATTCTGGCACAAAGCATTCTGTGGAAAAGTATATGAGACCTTATAAAAGTTTATGGAATAATGGAACTAAAGTATGAGTTTATTTTGATATAAAAATGATGAAACCTATGCATTTTTTTAAAAATATGTATTTTTGACAACCTTTTTGAAGATTCCTTGTACAAAATACTCTGAGAAAAAAATAAAACCCTAAATAAATGGAGAAATATAACACACTCACAGATTAGAAGACTCTACACTGTATTAAGATGTCCATTTTCTCCAGGTTGATCTATTTAATTCTATCCCAGTCAAAATACTAGAAGGCTTTTTTTTCTAGAAATGGACACCAGATTCTAAAGCTTAAATGAAAATGCAAAGGTTCTAGAGCAGGCAAAACAATTCTGAAACAGAGCAAAGTTAGAGGAACACTACCTGATTTCAAGACTCATTATAATAAGTCACAGTAATCAAGACACTGTAGTTTTGTTACAAAGAAAAAGAGGCCAGTTGTGATGACACAGTAATTTTATGCTTCATTTACTGAGGCTACATGGGAAAGTTCTGAGTTCAATTCCCAAGGTTTCCCTCCACATGTTAGGTGCACCCACGTGCC